AGACTCTTTGAGATAGAGCTTGCTAAGACGCGTGACAAGTCACCCCGGAAAAGAAGACACAAACCCAGAAGTTGGTGGGATGAGGAAGTTAAGAGAGCCATAGCAAAACGTCAGGAAGCCTCTAGGGAACACAGACATGCTAAGCAGCGGGGTGAACCGACAGATGATGTGGAAAGAAAATGGGCAACCTTTCTAAGCTGTAGAAGGGATGCATCCCTTCTGATCAATGAAAAGATTAGAACGAAGGGAGCTCAGTGGCTGGCAGAAGTACATAAAAAAGATAGAAAGGCAGCTGCGAAATTTTGGAACCATTTAAACTCCCTAAGAAATGAGACGAGCCTAGAGCAGAACTTTATAACTACAGCCCAAGGTGCTAGGCTAGAAGGGGACGAAGCTATTGAATATATAAGAACAAGGGTGACAGAAAATTTCAACAAAGAAGTACTTTATGCACCACAATAGACAAAGACGAATCAAGTGGTGCAATGGCTCCATTTTCACAACAAGAGTGGGAAAGGGCTGAGAAAAGGGTTCCTAGTAGTACATCAACAGGCCCAGATGGCATTTCAATTAGGCTGATAAAAACATTAGGTCCGAAGTCTAAGCAGGCTTTGAGAGAGGCAGTGAGTACAATAATAATCGATGGTGAAGTTCCCGATGGATGGAAACTTAGCAGGATGAGCATGATCTATAAAGGAAAGGGGGACAAAGCTGACATAAACAACTACCGTCCTATAACAGTGACATCAGTGGTCTACAGGCTGGCGATGCAGATTATAAAGGAAAGACTGCAGGCGTGGATAGAGGATGAGGGGGTGCCGGGGGAACTGCAGAATGGGTTTCGGAAACACAGGAGGTTGGAAGACAATCTGTTCTCACTGACGCAGTGCATCGAAATAGCAGAAAAAGAACACAGACCCCTGTGGCTAGCATTTTTGGATATCAAGGGAGCGTACGATAGCGTGGTTCAAGAGGAATTGTGGGGAATACTGGACACACTAGGAGTGGAACATGTAGTCACTAATCTTTTAAAGGGTGTCTATAAAGGTAACAAGGTAGTTATAAAGTGGGAAAAACAGGTATCCAAGCCGGCAGAGGTAAAACGGGGGCTTAGGCAGGGGTGCCCCCTGTCACCCTTATTATTCATGATGTACCTACAAGGATTAGAGGCAAAATTAGAGGGAAGTGGACTGGGCTTCAACCTCTCTTTAGTCAAACAAGGAAAACTTATTGATCAGGCACTACCAGCATTAATGTACGCAGATGATATAGTGCTGATGGCCAACAACAAGGAAGATTTGCAGAGATTGATGGACATCTGCGGTAATGAGGGAGATAGGTTAGATTTTAGATTCAGTAGGGAAAAATCAGCAGTCATGATTTTCAATGACAACGAAGGTAGTGAGCTTAGAATACAGGAGGTCACGCTAGAGATAACATATAAATACAAATATCTGGGCGTATGGATAAGCAATGGGACCGAGTATCTGAGGGAACACGAAATATACGTGACGACTAAAGGTAACAGGAATGCAGCAGTCATGAAAAATAGGGCACTGTGGAATTACAATAGGTATTATGTTGTGAGAGGAATATGGAAATGGGTCATGGTTCCTGGGCTGACGTTCAGCAATGCGGTCTTGTGCATGAGATCAGAAGTTCAAGCAAGATTAGAAATTAAGCAACGTGGAATAGGTAGGCTTGCTTTAGGAGCTCATGGGAATACACCAAATCAGGGAGTTCAAGGTGATATGGGATGGACATCATTTGAGGGCAGGGAAGCTAGCAGCAAGATAAAATTTGAGAAGCGATTGAGAGAAATGGGGGAAGAGCGTTGGGCTAGGAAGGTTTTCAGCTACTTGTACATGAAGAATGTCGATACAAAATGGAGGAAGCGAACCAGGAAGTTGACTGGTAAATACTTAGAAAACAGCAGGTGGCCAAACCAAAAAGGAACTATCGGTTAAGAAAAAAGTGAAGGAAACGGAGACTGACATGTGGAGAATGGGCATGATTAAGAAGTCCGCACTAGAGATCTATCAAAATTTTAAGCAGGAAATTGCCAAGGAAAGGATCTATGATAATACTCGGGGTAGTTCTCTACTGTTTGAGGCCAGGACGGGAGTACTGCGAACCAAGACATATCGGGCCAAATACGAAGGGGTCGACACAGTATGCAGTGCGTGTGGAGAGGAAGAAGAAACTGCCGAACACTTGATAATGTTCTGTAAAGGGCTTTACCCTATAGTTCAGGATGATGGCGCAGAGTTTTTCAAAGCACTGGGATTTAGGGACAGCGAGGGCAAAATAGACTTTAAGCGAGTAGACTTAACTAGAAGGAGGTTATCTGATTGGTGGCTAAAGTCAAGGCACGAGTGAAAATTAAACCCTTCACTGCGAAGTACGAATCCTCAACTTCATTATTTAAAGGAAAAAAAAGATAAATGTAATGATTAGTTCACTAAGTATTACGGCTAGGTGGCGTTAGCCGCCGCCCGATCTAAAGGGTACAGCCACATCCATCCATCCATCCACGTACAAAACAGGTATCCAAGCCTGCAGAGGTAAAACGGGGGCTTAGGCAGGGGTGCCCCCTGTCACCCTTATTATTCATGATGTACCTACAAGGATTAGAGGCAAAATTAGAGGGAAGTGGACTGGGCTTCAACCTCTCTTTAGTCAAACAAGGAAAACTTATTGATCAGGCACTACCAGCATTAATGTACGCAGATGATATAGTGCTAATGGCCAACAACAAGGAAGATTTGCAGAGATTGATGGACATCTGCGGTAATGAGGGAGATAGGTTAGATTTCAGCTTCAGTAAGAAAAAATCAGCAGTCATGATTTTCAATGACAATGAAGGTAGTGAGCTTAGAATACAGGAGGTCACGCTAGAGATAACAGATAAATACAAATATCTGGGCGTATGGATAAGCAATGGGACCGAGTATCTGAGGGAACAAGAAATATACGTGACGACTAAAGGTAACAGGAATGCAGCAGTCATGAAAAATAGGGCACTGTGGAATTACAATAGGTATGATGTTGTGAAAGGAATATGGAAAGGGGTCATGGTTCCTGGGCTGACGTTCGGCAATGCGGTCTTGTGCATGAGATCAGAAGTTCAAGCAAGATTAGAAATTAAGCAACGTGGAATAGGTAGGCTTGCTTTAGGAGCTCACGGGAATACACCAAATCAGGGAGTACAAGGTGATATGGGATGGGCATCATTTGAGGGCAGGGAAGCTAGCAGCAAGATAAAATTTGAGAAGCGATTGAGAGAAATGGGGGAAGAGCGTTGGGCTAGGAAGGTTTTCAGCTACTTATACATGAAGAATGTCGATACAAAATGGAGGAAGCGAACCAGGAAGTTGACTGGTAAATACTTAGAAAACAGCAGGTGGCCAAACCAAAAAGAACTATCGGTTAAGAAGAAAGTGAAGGAAACGGAGACTGACATGTGGAGAATGGGTATGATTAAGAAGTCCGCACTAGAGGTCTATCGAACGTTTAAGCAGGAAATTGCCAAGGAAAGGATCTATGATAATACTCGGGGTAGTTCTCTACTGTTTGAGGCCAGAACGGGAGTACTGCGAACCAAGAGATATCGGGCCAAATACGAAGGGGTAGATACAGTATGCAGTGCGTGTGGAGAGGAAGAAGAAACTGCCGAACACTTGATAATGTTCTGTAAAGGGCGTCACCCTATAGTTCAGGATGATGGCGCAGAGTTTTTCAAAGCACTGGGGTTTAGGGACCGGGAGGGCAAAATAAACTTTAAGCGGGTAGACCTCACTAGAAGTAGGTTACCTGATTGGTGGCTAAAGTCAAGGCACGAGTGAAAAATACACCCTTCACTGCAAAGTACGAGTCATCAGCCTCACTATTTAAAGAAAAAAAGAAGAAATAAGTCTAGTTTTTGGTTCACTGAGTATTACGGCTTGGTGGCGCTAGCCACCGCCTGATCTAGAGGGAACAGCCATATCCATCCATACATCCTTCTACTCTTCTGTCACGGCATATAGTAGCCGCCTCAGGAGCTCAATGAAAACATAAGTTTGGCATCAAATGTTTGCAAAGAAGAAATTTTATTGATTTGTGCAATTTTCCACATCCGCTTTACAACGTGTCCCACTGAGGACGCTTATCGCTTTACCACAAAAACCAGTGAAGTTTCACGAGAAAGTATTGTTTTTCTGCATTTATTTTGCACAAAGGGTACAGATTCATGTGGTTTAGATGTGCTGCAAATGTATTAATTTGTGCACGGACGGGCGTGTAGTCTAGCGGTAAAGACACTCTTTTCGGAGCATGAGGGTACGGGTTCAAATGTCAGCATAAAAAAGAGAAAGCTTTTTTTTTTATTTATGCAAAAGACATTATCGGGTCTGACCAGCCTTTCGTGGCGCTAAAAGCAGCGCAGTAGCTGGGCCGCAGGGCCCTACGGGAGGCTCCGCTCTTTATGTATGTAGGTTTCTCCTTGCTTATTCTAAACAAATGAACCGTCAAGTCGAAGAAGTAATGTGTTTGTCTTCTTGCCATTTTGACCTGCGTTTACCACCTTGATATCTAATGTCTCGGGGAATCTACCAACAAGTGGATGTACACGGGGGATAAGTAAGTGCGCCTACCCATTTATCCGATTCAGCTAGTTCGGTCAATTGTGAGTTATGTGCAGTTGTTATGTTGATGAGACCTCGGCTGTTCGCTCTATGCAAAAATGTTTCACTTTGCGATGTACAATTGTGAAGATGTGAATGTAGTCCTGAGCAGTGATTTGTCATGCATAATTTATGCTCTGTGCATAGTATAAGTAATTCTTTTCTAAACAAATTCAAGGCCTGTGTTCTGTTACTGCTGTTTCTCAAACCCATTAGACGAATCCTCTTATTACATGTAATAGTGGCATTAGTCATATTGTAGAGGGGTAATCGACCGAGCCAGCGCGAGTAAACATTGGTGGCCTGGTGAAACATCTCCGTCCCTCTCTGTTGCAGGCGTGCGGAATTTCCTACGGCAAGATCATCCTCGTCACTCCTCCGCCAATTGACGAGCAGCTGTGGTTGGCGCATTGCAGGAGACGAGGTATTGCTCTCGGATAGTTTATTTAGCGGGTTCTCTTGAAAAATTGGTCGGGCTGTTTTCTGCAAATATTTTCAGCTTGCGGGTTTTCTGGGATTTGTTCGGAAGTTTATTGAGGGATGAGTTAACTGATGAAAAGCCTTAGATAGTTAATAAAGCGCGGCAATTGACCATCGGCGGCGTCAACACGCTCAAGCGATGCAAAAAGAGAAAAGATTGACGTACCGCTATGACGTTACAATAACGTAATGTGATGACGTTAGGTTATTTGACGTCATAGGGACGTCATAGCGAAGCCATGATGATTAAAAATTTTAGTGCTCTGTGGCAGGGATTTTGTAATACATCACTAGCTGTAGCCCAAGCAGACACTCCGAATAGTTACGTGGAATACGGGAGCTGGGTGGAAAGTGCAGCGCGGTGGAAATAACCTTATGTGTTAAGGCCTATTAGTTAGTGATTGATTGATTGATTGATTGATATGTGGGGTTTAACGTCCCAAAACCACCATATGATTATGAGAGACGCCGTAGTGTAGAGCGACTACCTGGGGTTCTTTAACGTGCACCCAAATCTGAGGCCTACTAATTGGTGATGTCCCAAATCTATCACGCAAAAGATACAAGGGGACATGTCGGCGGCGACAGTCATCAAACCATCCAACTAGAAACTTCGCCTACTGCGAGGATCTCTTTAAAAGTCTTGTCGGTGCACGTCTCCTTTGTCCTGACTTTGTTTTACCTTGCAGGCAGAAACACAGTCCGCACGTCGTCGTCCGTCACCAAGTACGCGAAGGCTTGCGCCATGGTCGGTTTGGGAAAAGGCGTCAAGGTGGTCGACGCACATTCGCACTTTCTGAACGATGCGGTAAGTATATGAAGCGATCTCTTTCGTCTGCGATATGCGAACATGTCGGTCCCATAATTGGGCTAGTTGGCATTGGTTCACGTTCAAACTGGATAAGGCGCGCACACAGATACGGACGGTAAGCGCAAACACCACGGGTGCCTACTGTGAAGGGTATGAGGTTTCGATGATGGAATTCCACCGCTGCCACCTAGTTGTTAAGGGCTCGAGGTCCATGGCAGGTACGGCGGGTTTTCTTTAGGGTAGCTGGCACCCGCCGTCATCCGCATAGCCGATCTTCGCCAGTGAGGAGTCGCGTTAAAAGGGATAGAACGAAGGTTTATTTACATTATAGATGAAAGATAGGAACTGTACAGAGATCCAGAAGATCCCGCATTATGTACAACAGAGATTCAGTTCATGATTCAGCTCACTGATTCCATTCATGATTCAGCAAAATGTTTTCGGCTTTTATAGCCCGCCGTCTCCTTACACGGAAGTCCGAAGGAGGCGGTCACCTCTCTTGCCACTAATCAGGTGACGAAGTCTATGTGGTCCACCCACCATGAAGGGTGCAGATATTGCACCACTTGGATGGGCGAAAAGTTCCAATGGTAGCCCAAGTGCACCACACAATGACGCACCCGGTCCACGCCTTGAGGGCACGCAGGGCGAGGAGGTAGAGCTCCGGAGAGGGAAGGTTGAGCTTTTCAGGGGAGATGGCCGCTGACCCGAACGTCAGCAGCGGTCCATGGCTGTTTTCAGCTTCAGGCTTCCGGTACTTCCTCGAACATGGCAGCCCAAACAGCTCGATTCCTGAGAACGGCTTCTTCGACATGTTCCCACACTTCCGTCCGGGCTGTCGGTGCGTAGCGATGGCCTCGCGTAGATGACAATAGCCGAGTCGAGAGGTTGTCTTAATGAGACCAGCCACAGTGGCGCCATCCAACGCTGTTCAAACCCGTTCAACAAAAGGCTTGTCTCGCGAAGCTTTAGTTGAGACCCGACTGCTTCCTGGAACATCTACGGGACAGCGTTTTGAAGACTGGCAGCCGATGGAGCTGAAAGCATCCGTAGCAGACCGGCTTACGCACAATGGTGTCTGCCCAGACGAATTACCGGGCCAAACGTAATACTATTCACAACTACAATTTATTGGAAAGAAAAGCGTGCACACATATGTCACTTCTGTCACATGACCTGTCTAGTGAAACAGAAAAAAAGAAGAGAGAAGAAAACGATACACATGCCGGGGCTAAAAGAACATTTGCCTCAAGATAAGACAACAGAGGGCAATGAGATATGAAAATTCGTTGTTCATTAGTGTGATGGAGGGTGCGCTTACATTTCCCCCCCCCCCCTAACTTCTGCTGCGTAATGCCCCTGTCTGCTCTCTGGTGGTCTGATCTGGGTGTTTGGAGAGAATAATAACACGAAAAAATGGGGTTGCATCCACACAAGCTGCAACGTTGGGGCATGCGTGAACTGTCTTTTGTGTCCAACAATCTTCCGTGTTCCTGCAGCCTGGTATTGACACATCGTCGTGATTGATTGATATGTGGGGTTTAACGTACCATAACCACCGTGTGATTATGAAGACGCGGTAGTGGAGGGCTCCGCAATTTCAATTTTAATATGGGGGGTTTTACGTGCCAAAACCAAGGTATGATCATGAGAGACGCCGTAGTGGAGGCTTCCGCAAGCTTCGACCATCTGGGGTTCTAAGGTTCACTGACATCGCTTGTACACAACACGGGCCTACCATTCCGCCTCCATTGAAATGCGACCGCCGGGATCGAACTCGCGACCTTCGGGTAAGCAGCCGAGCACCCTAGCCACTGATCCACCGAGGCAGACAAGGGCTCCGGAAATTTCGACCAGCTGGGGTCCTTTAACGTGCACCCAAATCTGAGCACACGGGCCTCTGCAGCATTTTCGCCACCATCGAAAATGCAGCCGCCGCAGCCGGGATTCGATCCCGGATACATCTTCCTGAATGACCTATATGAATGTGGCGACACGACAGTGAAACAAGATAAACACATTTTACACGTTATAAGTGACTGCGTGGGATTCACGCCCATAGTGTTTGCGCTTTCAGTGTCCTTGTCTGTCTGCGGCATCTTACGCAGCCTGAACAAGAACATGCGCTTTTTCTGCACTAAGGGACTACGAATGACATAGTTTATTCCATGTTCTGACAATGTATGTATAGAAATCTTCGGGTAGGCCGGCAGCTGATAGAAAATTTTTGCTGTGCGAAATTTTGTAACGACATGGTTAGGATGACGGTAAGGAAGCGTAAAGAACTATGCACACTTTGCCTTGTGTGAACAATTTCGATTTAAATCTTTTGGATTTCAACGCAATAATCAGCCTTATCTGAGTCAACTACAATGTCACAAGCGCGGTAAGTTACTCTGCACCTGAAAATTGTGTGTTGGTGGTACCATTTACCTTATATTAAGTATCACGATACCAAATGTTGCGACAATTTTGTTGAACGTGTATTCAGGTAGCACCCTGCTGCATCATAACATCAGGACGTCCGCGGGCTAGTCTCCGTGCATGCACTTTAAGAAATATTTTTTCGACAAAAAAAGTGCCATCAAGATACAGTGTATCACGTGATTGTTCAACTTCTACACTTACCTGTGTATATTCATATGTTTCAAAACTTTGCGCATGTCAGCACTGGAGTAGGCTGTTGTCCGACGGCATCAATCTGTCCCCGGCCGGGTCGCACAAGCTCGCCTCCGTCCTCATACCTGTGCTCAAGGAAGTGGTCGGCGAAGCCCCTCGGCTGTTCCCTGAGTTCTCGGAACTCGATCCCGACAAACCGGAGGACTCGATCTCGGCCTGGGCGTCGGCAACGTGCGACTGCGCTCGTTTGTAGCTCGCTCACTTACAGACCTTCTGTTCAGAGTTCCCTGATATTGTTATTAGGGCGAAACCCTCAAACGGCTCCTGAGAAGGATTACTCGGTGGAGGACAGGCGTCTGATATAAAAGCTCACGTGACCAAAAGAGTTCCTTGTTGATCGAGAGACGTGCCAACTGTCCGTCCACCTCATCATTGTGGCGTTCTAGGAGATTGAAAGAAACACAAGCGAAGATAGATGAATATGTGATGTTTAACGTCCCACAACTCCCATATGATAAACACAAGCAAAGACACTTACTGAGCCCTTTAGTGGGGGCATGCGGCTTGAGGATCAGCAAGCCCTAAAGCGGATGCTAAGACAACCTGTGAGTTTTCGTGGATAATTTATTAATATTAATCAACCGCGCCTATTTGTGAGTAAGGACAACCAAACATTTTTGTAGTTACCAAACACTTTTGTAGTAACCAAACACTTTTGTAGTCACCACACTTTTGTAGTTACCAAACAGTGCAAGCCTTGTCATAACTGCGTTGCTTTTTCGTCGCGTTGGTTTATCATTTCTTTCGGTGGTATTCCCATTTGATAACAGAGATGCACTAAAATGTTCAAAGGTCAGCACTATACAGCACGCAAGCGTAGCATCTCGTGAAAGCGTAGCTGCGCCAAACGTGAAACTGCATTAAAACTAGTTTTTTTTTTTAACGGGAATCATTCTTTTGTGATCAAACCGGAGCGCTTTCACCGTATCTGTCTACTTATCTACAGGGAAGCGAAGCTCAAGTGTGGGTGCGACACTCACGCTGCCGACCCGTGCGTTGGACAGACGCTGCCGGCTGAGGCTGTGTTGTCGCCTGATTTGGCTTCGGCCGCGGCAAGGATACGTGCGCACGGGCGCTGCCCGTTCAGACCAGAACAGTGTTAGTCAGCAATGATGGCATTCTGACGCAACACAGATGCAATACGAGAGCTCCACACTTGCGTGGAAGAGAGCGCGCAGTGCTGCGTTGAAAGGTGACGCCCCGCGGATATTCCCAGTTACGACGAGAGCAGTGCATGGCGCCGCTCGACGCTGCTTCGGAAGCCTGTAGCTGCTTGCGTATTTGTTCTCTCGTGGTCGTTTCGTTAACATTATTTCACATTCACCACGTTTTGCGTACCATGACGTACGTGTATTAGGTACAGCCATAGCCGTCAGCACTTTTAACACGAACACTTCGATGCATGGCCAGGGTTAGTTTTGATTGATGCCAGCGGCGAAGTGCTGGGTGCTTTTGCCGAGATAATAAACACACACACAGTGGTTCTAGAGAGAAAAGAAGAGAACAGTGAGCCCCGTAACTGTCTGCTTTAGTGAGCGACACCTCAACAGTAGCTCACAAGGGAGGGGGGTGAGGAGGGATTAAAAGGATGAAGGTGGATTAGGAATAAAGGTGTAGAGAAAGAGAAAGAGGCATGAGGTGGTAAGCCAGAGAGCGACGACATATCGAGGGGATACGAGAGATAGGAAAGATGGAAACACGGTCACAGGAGTCCGAGGACGGGGCACCACTTGTGAGAGCTCTTGCCGGCGTCAGGAGATGGCGTAGGGCAAGTCCAGTCGGTCATAGCTGCACTGTCGTCGGAGGTCGGCGTCAGGAGATGACGTAGGGCGAGCCCAGTCGGCCAGAGCTAGGCTGACGTCGGAAATTACGAGGGCACAACCGGTCGGCCCGGAATCCAGTGAGCGAGTCCGAGATAATACCTCGGTAAGCTTATAGGTAGTATGTCGGCATGTATGTTGAGCATCTCAGCAACAGAACCCAAACGTACGTGGTGTCGGCGTCAATCAAACTGCTGCAGGACACGCCGCGGATTGTTCGTGTTAAAGGTGCTGACGGCTGTACATGAGTGACAGATTTAAAGGCACCGACAAGTGATTTTTCTCGACCCATTTTTTTTTCACCGCTTGACAGAAAGCTTGCCCTGCGTAGTATTTATGACTGCAGTGATAAGTTTGAAAAACACCGTTATTCGACAAGCAGTAGTTTTTTTTTTATCTGAAAGGCTTTAATCATAGATGCAGCTTTCCTCAAACAACACTGATCATTTAAAGCGATGCCGCCAGCCCTTCCCGCGATTTTTGAAAGCTGTCATTCTGCCTTCCTAGGAATTCCTGTAACTATGCTTAAGCACCCTTATTTTGAGGTTGTTCAATTATCGAAGACAAGCTCTTACAGTGAGATGATGTGGCATTATACACTTTCCTTGTATTTGTACCGCGTTGTGTGCGCCTGCGGCCAAAGTTTCCTGAGTCTGTGTCGTGGGTGGCTTGTCCCGGCTTCCTTACTTTCTGGATACGTGCGAGCAAAGCTAAGTAATAAAAAAATATCACTACGTATATGCGCGACCGCTCCGAGTAGCAGTGCGCGTTATTTCTGTCGTAGCGACATATGAAGACGTATATACCTATATATGGTGACACATAATTTATATAATTGCAATAATGTATGGCAGTTTCGTAAGAAAGACGAAGTGTTGGTAGAAAAACTCTAAAATCACTCTAAAACTCTAAAATGTCACTCTAAAATCTTGGCAGCCTGGAAACTGCGCGCATGGCTGCATGAGCACGCTGAAAAATTGCTCAAGACGGGCCGGCAAGCATGAGATCATTACGTCACGCGACAGCAGCGCCACTTTTATGTATACTAGTTATTCAGGCCAACATGTACATCTTTATGGAGTAACAACCTCAAACGTAAAGGAACTAATAATGTTTCATGCTAACAAAAATGATCGTCGATCGCATACATCAATAAATGGTCACGTGGCCAGGTACATCGCTCATTCACGCTTTTGCCGCCAGAGGCACCGCAGATAAATTTTTCGTGACTTTCAATGAAGAAATAAAAATATACATTCTTTGGTTGATTGTGGGTTTTAACGTTCCAAAACCACAAAATGATTATTAGAGACGTCGTAGTGGAGGGCTCCGGAAATTTCGAACACCTGGGGTTCTTTAACGTGCACCCAAATCTGAGCACACGGGCCTACAACATTTCCGCCTCCATCGAAAACGCAGCCGCCGCAGCCTGGATTCGAACCCACGACTTGCGGGTCAGCAGCCGAGTACCTTAGCCACTAGGCCACCGCGGCGAGGCAAATATAAATCCCCCTCTGACGAAAAAAAATAACAGGGTTGGTTTGAGTGAATGTGACGGACAATCGTATCATCAGTAGAGTCATGTCATTTCATATTCTGGGCAGTCGTTCACCCCTTTAAGAACCTTTGAGTGCGAGCTTGAAAAGGGACAAAGAGGGAGAGAACGACATCAGGGCTGCTCTCAACTGAATGCTCTATTAGGCAAAATCGAACGTATATACCCAAACCCGTCACCCGTTGCACATGCACACCATCCTAGAGGCAATACCAGGCACTATCACACCATATTTTCTAGGAGCGACACTTCTTTGCTGGAAATTGTTAATGACAGGTGACTGATAGAAGATGACCCCTACCGTTAATGCGAAATGCCTCGGCAAGTTCTCGTGTGGTACGACAGCGGCGCATAAGCGTTGTTACTACGTCAGAAAAGTGCGCTTCTCAGCCACAATGCACACAATGCATGGGTAAATGCGTGAGCAGGCTTTCTTTCTGAAACGAGAGGTGTTTCCTTTAAGCGTAAAATAATAATAATAATAATAATAATAATAATAATAATAATAATAATAATAATAATAATAATAATAATAATAATAATAATAATAATAATAATAATAATAATAATAATAATAATAATAAGTCACATTCCACTTTTCCGCCGCGGTGGACATCCGTTTAAGTGAGATTAAACCGGAACACTCCTTCGAAGCACAGTTTCTGAAGACCACCATTTCAGCTCAGTTAAACGCAAAGAGGCGTTTGTATAAGGTTTGGTAGAAATGGTGTCGGTAGTTGATGAAATGGTTACGAATTGGGCGATATTCGCATATTAAAAAAGAGGCATTGACAGCGTGAGCGACGTGTCGATTTGCTTGTGTGTCACATCTTTTCTAGTTTTTTTTTCTTTGCGTGAAGAAAGAGTGCGCATTTTTCAAACGTTTTCTCGTTTTTTTTTTTCTTTCTGGGAAGACGCAACAAACCTGTTGTGATAGCTATACCGCATGTTGAACCCTATATATTGAACTTCAAACTCGTGGTGAGTTAGCGATGTTCGTTAGCGCTCGTGGTCTATTGTCTTTCTCCTGACCGGGTTGTTTCTCGCTAAAGCAACTTCTGTACGTGTCCCCGCCGTGGTGGTTTAGTGGCTAAGGTACTCGGCTGCTGACCCACGGGTCGCGGGTTCGTATCCCGGCTGCGGCGGCTGCATTTTCGATGGAGGCGGAAATGTTGTAGGCCCGTGTGCTCAGATTTGGGTGCACGTTAAAGAACCCCAGGTGGTCGAAATTTCCGGAGCCCTCCACTACGGCGTCTCTCATAATCATATGGTGGTTTTGGGACGTTAAACCCCATATATCAATCATCAACTTCTGTACGTGTAAACCAACACGATTAAAAAGTTTTACTCAGTCACCAGTTTTCCTAAGTATACGGACAGATCATCCGGCGTATGAACTTAGTTTCTTTCGGTCTACGAACTTATCATCCTGTCTATGAACTTGGCCTAGTGGTCAACCGAACTCTAACGGCAATGGCTGCATGACATCGCTGCTGTCCTTATGTGATGATAGTCTGAAACTGGCTTTGATGCACTCATCGTACTTCGCGAGCCCATTGCGTTGCCCATGTATAGTTTGGCCGTGGAAACAGCTACTTTTTGCACCAACTGCAGTGAGTCTAATGACACACTTTGTTCCTGCGTGGACCGTTCTTGGTAAAGATTCCCCATTGTGGAACACTCATTCTTCTCTCTCGAAAGGTAAAGAATGGGAAGACTTTCGATAGGTACGTGGAGATAACGTTCGTTTCGTTCGTCACTTCCCCGCTTAACGTTCAACTTAATCTTTGCCACTGAACGTATAGGTACACAAGAGTATAGCGTATGACGCATGCGCAGTGGCGACAAACGCTCACGCACAGCTTTGCGTACCCTATTCTCAAACGGCCTAAAGCTTAGGTATAATTAATAAATAAGTGTGGCGTGTGTCGCTGTTAAGAACGTGCGTATCCGTTCCAGTGGCTTCATATAACTTCTTTGAGTCACCCGCATCGAGTGTGTTGCATCAAACAAGCCAATGTATGTATGTATGTCTGCACGGCTTTTGCAAGCTGTTATGTTTAGAGAATTACTAGGGCCGCAGACTTGTAAGCAGCTGGTCCCGCTTTTGATGAAAGTAACAGCTGTTTCCACATTTGCTCAGAACAAAAAGTGACGACGCAGTCTGGCTTCGTGCCACACTCGCTCTAGCGCTTCCAGTGGAGCCTTGCACAGATGACCCAGCTTTGCTTAGACGGGACTGAACCACACGCCGGAATAGGCGTCATACGTATGACGTAGCGATAATTTTCTCACTCGTAGGATGCGAAGCGCAGCATTCCGATTTACGATTGTGCCAATGCGCAAACTGTTATGGGGACGTGGCGTAATTTTGATCATTTTGTTGGGTGCAATGGGGAACGTCAGTTCGGTGAGTTATTGTACATTTGCTTATTGTTTTTACTTGCGACGAACCACTGAAAATACATTTCAGAAGAATGAACGACGCTATTTTTTGCATTTATACTGAGTCACTTCGTCACATGCCCGAAGGTATGCAGTACTTCAAGCAAGACATCAAATTTTCTTAGCTTAGCGACTGGTATGCGGAATCACTAAAGATAACCACGTCATAATGCGCTGAACCTAGTCTCTAAAGATAATGATGACTCTTATCTATGCGCTCCAGTAAAGATACGTCAATATGACCCAAACTCAAAACGGTGAAAACCAAGGTATATGTGAACTGGTAGCGTAAGCCTATGTGTCCAGTATAGTAAGTGGCTTGTTGCCACCTTCACCATCTACGTATGAAGGGGACAACTAACAACAAACGAAAAATAAAAAATAAGCACGACGCCACAAGTGGAAGTGGTAGAGACGTCGTGCATTTGACCTGCATGACGCGAAATTGAAATTTTTTGTTTGATTGCTCACCTTTTACATGCTGTTACAAACACGCGATTTTATTGCGCCTGATATGGCTCACAAATCGCGTGCGCAGGAAAAAAGGAACACCGACAGAAAGGATTGAAGAAGCAAGGTTACTTTATTAACGAAGTAGTGTACTTGCTATATATGACGAAAACTTTGCAGACGAAATTGTGACACAAATCTCCACGACCTCAATTGTATAGTAGTTCGAAAACTCGAGTTGCCCAATAGTGGAAAACCACTGCAGCGAGACAGCAGTCATAAAATTATCACTTTGGCAACCATATTGCCGCATTCAACCTGCAGAGGAGAGCTCGCGCAGCCAGAAAGGAAGACAAAGCTCTTGCTCGGTCCTCTTTACGAGCGCCTTTAATTTTAATTAAAGTGAGCTCTTCTATATCAGACTCCTGCTGTGTTTGCGTCGTGACACTGGTGGAGGAGCTGGGTACATGTCCAGGACACCTTCCAACCGCCCGGGATCTAGTTCACAAAGACTTCCGCTCGTCGAAACACCCGTTCACCGCGCCAACCGCCGCCTGTTAGGCCTGAGCCCAGAGTTCGGTCCTTGGACGGAAAAGATGACCACGCCCGGAAGCAGTTGCCCCGCCATGACCAGCCCAAGCACGACACAGGTGACTGTTTTCACCCCTAAAATTCCTGTAGACTTCCGTGGCAACACATATGAGGACGCAGATGACTGGTTTGAGGAGTTCGAGCGCACAGCCAACGTTAACGGGTGTTCGGAACGGTGCACAGAAGTTGGGGTACGTGTATTTCCCTCTTCAAGACGGGGCTCGCACATGGTTCACAAATTGCGTGTGGTCAACGTGGGACGAGTTCCGGCGGAAGTTCCTGGACACCTTCGCAAACACCGAAAGGCGGGAGCATGCACAACGACTCTTCGAATGACGGATTCAAAAGCCCAACGAGTCTGTTGCTATGTTTGTTGAGAACATGGCTCGTCTCTTTCATCGAGCCGATCCCGATATGTCCGAGAACAGAAAGATCAGCCACCTCTTGCGTGGTGTTAAAGAGCAGCTGTTTGCTGGTCTCGTAGGGAACCCACCTTCAAGCGTTGAAGAATTTTCGGAGGCGACCGCCATGCATCGAACGCGCACTACAGCTACGATACCGCCAGTACGACGACCCAAACAACAACGGACAAATAAGCGCAACCGCCGTCACCACTGTGACACCTGACGAGCGTTCTTTGCGTGACCTGATACGCGAAATTGTGCAAGAATAGTTGAAGAGGCTCGCCGCCACACCAAATGACTGCGCGATTGCGTCGGTCACAGAAGTTGTTCGCCAAGAGATAAGGCAAGCGCTTTCACTTCCCGAGCCGAACACTGAAATAGTTAGGCCAACATATGCAGATATTTTCCGTCGACAGCCTAGATCTAACGTGCCGCCACCTCAACAACAGTACCACCAGCAACAGCCGCCGACAGTGCCTTGTACTACCAAGGCACTGTCGGCGGCTGTTGCTGGTGGTACTGTTGTTGAGGTGGCGGCACGTTAGATCTAGGCTGTCGACGGAAAATATCTGCATATGTTGGCCTAACTATTTCAGTGTTCGGCTCGGGAAGTGAAAGCGCTTGCCTTATCTCTTGGCGAACAACTTCTGTGACCGACGCAATCGCGCAGTCATTTGGTGTGGCGGCGAGCCTCTTCAACTATTCTTGCACAATTTCGCGTATCAGGTCACGCAAAGAACGCTCGTCAGGTGTCACAGTGGTGACGGCGGTTGCGCTTATTTGTCCGTTGTTGTTTGGGTCGTCGTACTGGCGGTATCGTAGCTGTAGTGCGCGTTCGATGCATGGCGGTCGCCTCCGAAAATTCTTCAACGCTTGAAGGTGGGTTCCCTACGAGACCAGCAAACAGCTGCTCTTTAACACCACGCAAGAGGTGGCTGATCTTTCTGTTCTCGGACATATCGGGATCGGCTCGATGAAAGAGACGAGCCATGTTCTCAACAAACATAGCAACAGACTCGTTGGGCTTTTGAATCCGTCATTCGAAGAGTCGTTGTGCATGCTCCCGCCTTTCGGTGTTTGCGAAGGTGTCCAGGAACTTCCGCCGGAACTCGTCCCACGTTGACCACACGCAATTTGTGAACCATGTGCGAGCCCCGTCTTGAAGAGGGAAATACACGTACCCCAACTTCTGTGCACCGTTCCGAACACCCGTTAACGTTGGCTGTGCGCTCGAACTCCTCAAACCAGTCATCTGCGTCCTCATATGTGTTGCCACGGAAGTCTACAGGAATTTTAGGGGTGAAAACAGTCACCTGTGTCGTGCTTGGCTGGTCATGGCGGGGCAACTGCTTCCGGGCGTGGTCATCTTTTCCGTCCAAGGACCGAACTCTGGGCTCAGGCCTAACAGGCGGCGGTTGGCGCGGTGAACGGGTGTTTCGACGAGCGGAAGTCTTTGTGAACTAGATCCCGGGCGGTTGGAAGGTGTCCTGGACATGTACCCAGCTCCTCCACCAGTGTCACGACGCAAACACAGCAGGAGTCTGATATAGAAGAGCTCACTTTAATTAAAATTAAAGGCGCTCGTAAAGAGGACCGAGCAAGAGCTTTGTCTTCCTTTCTGGCTGCGCGAGCTCTCCTCTGCAGGTTGAATGCGGCAATATGGTTGCCAAAGTGATAATTTTATGACTGCTGTCTCGCTGCAGTGGTTTTCCACTATTGGGCAACTCGAGTTTTCGAACTACTATACAATTGAGGTCGTGGAGATTTGTGTCACAATTTCGTCTGCAAAGTTTTCGTCATATATAGCAAGTACACTACTTCGTTAATAAAGTAACCTTGCTTCTTCAATCCTTTCTGTCGGTGTTCCTTTTTTCCTGCGCACGCGATTTGTGAGCCATATCAGGCGCAATAAAATCGCGTGTTTGTAACAGCATGTAAAAGGTGAGCAATCAAACAAAAATTTCAATTTCGCGTCATGCAGGTCAAATGCACGACGTCTCTACCACTTCCACTTGTGGCGTCGTGCTTATTTTTTATTTTCGTTTGTTGTTAGTTGTCCCCTTCATACGTAGATGGTGAAGGTGGCAACAAGCCACTTACTATACTGGACACATAGGCTTACGCTACCAGTTCACATATACCTTGGTTTTCACCGTTTTGAGTTTGGGTCATATTGACGTATCTTTACTGGAACCCAAGAAGGTAAAAATGGAATGGACGGGGCCGCAAATTAGAGGAGCCGGAGGCCAGCTGCTGACGCATACCGGAAAGTGCACCACACGAATCAAGATCGGAGATTCATCATTCGTGGCAACCTTTGTTATTCTTCTGAGTGTTGTAAACAGGCCATCTTGGGTATGGATTTTTTGCGGGAGTACGGTGCCATCATAAATATACCGGACGGCCTACTGACCTTCTCAGCGGACCATAACGCAGCGCTGCAGCGCAAGCCCATGCGCGTGATTGACGACGTGACCATGCCACCGTTGTCATGCCGCCTGTGATTTGTCACACGCAGCATACGGGAGAAGGTGTCGCGGAACAAATATTGATGCTTTTACTCTCTCGAGGAATAGCTATTCCCAGAAGTCTCGTCAGTGTAGAGTCTGAGCAAGCAGAGGTCCTGTTGACGAACTTCAGCAATGAGCGTCGACACATTATAGGGGGTACCACAGTTGCATACTTCGAAGAAACTGTAGAATTCCGCGAGTGCTTTGCAGTACAACAGGCAGAGACGCCGGCCGCTTCAACTCCACTGCCTGTCAACGTGAGCACAGATTTATCGCCATCGCAGAGACAGAGTCTTCTAAATATTCTCGGCCAGTTTGAAGATTGTTTTTCATCGAACTCGAGGGTAAATCAAACGACACTGACAAAGCACCGAGTTATAACGGAAGAGACGGCAAGACCGATTCCTCGCACATAGCCAATCGCCAATTTCTCGCACATAGCATCGCCCTTAACACGCATAACGAGAGACGATAATTCATTTTTATGGGGCGAAGAGGAACAAGCAGCATTTGACGGTCTACGACAGCGCCTGCAGACACCACCTGTGCTTGCTCACTTTGACGAGGACGCTCCTACCATGATCCACACCGATGCCAGCAACGTAGGTTTAGGCGCTGTACTCGTCCAGTGGCAAGACTCAGCCGAGAGAGTGATTGCATATGCAAGTAGGACGCTTCCCCGTGCCGAGTCACATTATTCCACAACGGAAAAGGAATGTTTTGCTGTAGTATAGGCAGTTCTGAAGTTTCGCCCATACCTCTACGGCCGTCCCTTCCACGTAGTCAGTGACCACCATTCCCTTTGCTGGCTGACCAACTTGAAGGACCCATCTGGTCGGCCAGCGCGCTGGAGCTTACGCCTACAAGAATTCAATATGACGGTCGTCTATAAGTCGGGACGGCAGCACTCTGATGCTGATTGCTTATCCAGGTCACCTATAAAGCAAGACGATGTCTCAGCAGATGATCACATGGCATTTTTGGAGTGGTCGACCCAGTCACCATTTCGT